TTCAAGAGAATCTAGCTTTCTGTTATTGATGTCGTTTACACTTTTATTGTGAGAATACAGCTGTAAGAATATAATTCAAGGTAATGTTAACTATTAGCACCCCAAACATCTGTTGACTGACTGTTGGTCAGCTGTTGGTCGACAGAYTATTGGCAGTTGGTTGACAGTTAGTCAACAGGTCATCACTACATACCACAAACGGGCAACAAACAGGCTGACAAAYGGGCAACAAAAAGGTGATAAATGGACAACAAACAGGCAATGAACAGCCAATGAATGTGCAACAAATGGTTGACAAACAGTAAGAGCTGGTTTGGGCTGTCAATACAGTGTAGTTACTATTACYGAATTCRACGTAGTCAYGAACCTAGTCAATTACAAAATCATTGTTGGGTTCAAAACATAGAAAACATATTCTGGAAAATAACATAATTATCCTCTGGTGTATACATTTTAGATACAGTACACAATCAACGGATATTAAACAAGTGTTTAAAGCCCCCATTATTTCTATCAGTGCAAAAATTTATGAACATATACATACATAACTAGATACATATGTACATATTACTTCCCATGTATAATTTGAGTCTCATGCAGCTTCTATGTTCTATGCTTTTTTAAAAACTGCACTCTGCTTCCCCAACTATAGACGTTTACTTTGATAATCATCCCTTTGTTTTTAGGTATTTATAATGACAAGTACTAACCTTTGTGGGTTCAATGTCACTACATTTTAGTGGTCTGTTGAGATAATTGAGCARCTCCAGGGATTCTGGTGATACATGCTGATATCTGACTTCGTTTAGAAGCCTAAGAGTACCAATTGAAAAGAAAATGAAACAGTCACCAAGAGAAAGAAAGGGATTTGCTAGAAGTCTAGGGTATAAACTAGAGACTTACTTGATTAACTTTGGGTCTGACTGTCTGTATATCTGGGTCAGCTCCAAGCTATAATCAAGAACCTTGCCCCAGGAGCTACTCTGGAAACAGTAGCTGAAAAATCAAATATCATGCAATTTAAAAATGATTTTTTAACAGACTGAGATAAATTATTGCTATACTGTACTGCACAYGTAGTTTGGTTTTGTATGCTTTCCAAAAACTCTCCAATCTATTTTTCTACACAGATTTCCTTAGGGTGGTTATTCAATGCTTCTCTCTCTACAAGGGAGTTAATTATGGGGACTAAATGAGACTTCTGGAGATGAGAATCCCCACACTTTACAGACAGAAGTGGCTGGAAATGCACCTAAAGGAAAAACAAGAAAGGAAATCCAACTGCAGGTGAATTRATTTAAGGACGCAATTCACAGCTTTTTATACATTGGGATGCAGATTTAAAGGATTACTAGAATTCAAATTTGGAACTTGCAGCCTGGAGTAAACAATAGTCTCTTTCACAGTTCCCTGTGCCACTTTCAAAGGTAGCTGTGCCTTTGCATCCAAGCAAGACATACATCTGTACAGTGAGCTTGCCATGATAGAGACATGTGAATAATTGTCCAAGCTGTTTTAAAAAGTCGCTATCATTGCAAGCTCACTGTTCGTCTCGCTTCGATCAAAGGCACAGCTACCTTTCAAGATGGTGCAGAGAAAAGCAGYGAAAGGGACTTTTGTAATTTTATCAATCAAATTATAATTTTTAATTACTTGACTGAAGTTTCTCCAACTTTCTGTATTGGGGGGAGCTGAAAAAAATCTCCACAAAGAACCAGTTGTATTCCTCCAAAGGGTTTTTCAGACTGCCTAATTTTACGAGCTACAAAAAGAACACAGAAACAAGCAGTTTTATGCTTTATGACAGTGACATGTACAATGCAAAAGAACTCTTTACCTTTGTATGCAAATTGCCCATTTCAGACCATGTGACATTCCCCTGAGAATTGTTCTTTTATGACAAACAATGATGTTTTAATAATTCATATTTGAAAGAATCGATTCTCAAGTGTGGCATCTCTTTGTCTGAAACGTGCATAACAAACAACGAAGGTAAAGAGGTRAATTTCAATAGAGAAAATGTTTTTATTTTTTGCTGGTCAGTTTTTGCAGGCATCATGACACCCCAGTTTTGGAGTGACGTCATTTCTACAGTACGTCACTATTTCAGATCAGCTGGATACGTACAAGGTAGTACAGTACGACACACTGTAGAGCGGTTTTGGTATGAGTGGGAAATATACGGTACTGACTTAAAGAACATACATGTTACAATATGCTGTAACAGTGAAATGGTTTCCTATTGCTTTCCAGCAATTCATTCAATCACAACCTTTAGTAACAGTAAAAGTAATAGTCCCTTTCACAGTTCCCTGCGCCATCTTGAAAGGTAGCCGTGCCTTTGCATCGAAGCGAGAYGAACGGTGAGCTTGCAATGATAGAGAACTGTTTTTAACACCTTTGACAATCATTCACATGTCTCTATCATTGCAAACTCACTTTTCGTCTAGCTTYGATGCAAAGGCACRCCTACCTTAATTTCAAGATGCTGCAGGGAACTGTGAAGGAGAGTATTGTGCAATAGCTGTGGATTTGCCATACTGTTTCCAAATAATACAAAAATTGCTATCAACGTTATGGCCAAACTTGCCTTAATGTTCCAAAATGCAAACACAAGACAAGTATGCTTACCAATATAATCAAGTTTGTCAAAAAGCTTTCCATCTAACATGGACACCTCATCAATGATTAGTACATTTGCGCTTCTCCTGTTTTAAAGACATTTAGAACATGTATAAAAATACACAACATAAACTTAGTCTGAAAATGACATGGAAATTTTTTGTATCTGGGCATACCAGTTTTTGGCCTTTTGTCCTCTTAACACTATGCTATAAAGATTTTCCTTTGTCCCATTTCCAAGACCAATTCCAGCAAAGGAATGTAATGTTGTACCTCCTGCTTGAACTGCCGCTACACCAGTCTAGAAAAGAAAAGAAAAGTCATGAAAAGTCAGCTTTGCCACTCATCTAGATTTTTCAAATGTACTGTAAGTTAAACTATAGCCATCTTTGTGACACTATCAGGGGCAGATCCAGGAACTTTAGAAGGGGGGTGACTATTACAAAAGTTTTACCAGGAATTCGAGAAAAAAGGGGGTGACTGTTACTAATGATATACTGAGAAATTTGAGCAAAAGGGGGGTGACTAGTCACCTATTTTGCCACCCCTGGTTTCGCCCTTGCATTTTATTAACAAGACCGGAAATGACGTTTAACCGGAAATGACGTACAGCCCAGCTTAGCAGGAGATAGCNCCTACCTTAATTTCAAGATGCTGCAGGGAACTGTGAAGGAGAGTATTGTGCAATAGCTGTGGATTTGCCATACTGTTTCCAAATAATACAAAAATTGCTATCAACGTTATGGCCAAACTTGCCTTAATGTTCCAAAATGCAAACACAAGACAAGTATGCTTACCAATATAATCAAGTTTGTCAAAAAGCTTTCCATCTAACATGGACACCTCATCAATGATWAGTACATTTGCGCTTCTCCTGTTTTAAAGACATTTAGAACATGTATAAAAATACACAACATAAACTTAGTCTGAAAATGACATGGAAATTTTTTGTATCTGGGCATACCAGTTTTTGGCCTTTTGTCCTCTTAACACTATGCTATAAAGATTTTCCTTTGTCCCATTTCCAAGACCAATTCCAGCAAAGGAATGTAATGTTGTACCTCCTGCTTGAACTGCCGCTACACCAGTCTAGAAAAGAAAAGAAAAGTCATGAAAAGTCAGCTTTGCCACTCATCTAGATTTTTCAAATGTACTGTAAGTTAAACTATAGCCATCTTTGTGACACTATCAGGGGCAGATCCAGGAACTTTAGAAGGGGGGTGACTATTACAAAAGTTTTACCAGGAATTCGAGAAAAAAGGGGGTGACTGTTACTAATGATATACTGAGAAATTTGAGCAAAAGGGGGGTGACTAGTCACCTATTTTGCCACCCCTGGTTTCGCCCTTGCATTTTATTAACAAGACCGGAAATGACGTTTAACCGGAAATGACGTACAGCCCAGCTTAGCAGGAGATAGCAGCTATCAAAATATAAATTTCAACAAAAACGCCATACCAAAGCCGTGACAAATGTTCCTTCAGGCGCACATTTCTGTATCTCTCTCAACAATGTAGTCTTCCCAGTACCTGCATTACCAGTATAAAACACATTCTTTCCTTCACGAATCAAATTCAGAACGTATTCTTGTTGCGCAGAAAGTTTGACAGCACCTTCGCCATCACGAACAGGCTCTTTCCATTGAACTGGCGTAGAACCAACTTTGAATTTATCTTTACTATTGCCAACAGCAATATAYTGAGACTCTGAAAAACCGAATTTTTTGTCCATGGCTTTTCGACGCTTTTCCCACCATGGAAACGGGGAACCTTTTCCTTTGGATTTATTCATCTTTTGGAGTTAAAGCACTGCTAATYCATGTTCTTCTCGCATAGTTGTGAAACAAAGAAAAGCCTCATGCTCGCATTTTGACAAAAATATTATTATATTAGGAGTATTTAAAATCTCTCCGATTCGTTTTCTAACCACGCTTAGTGTCGTTACGCCATCTTGTCTACACAAAAACAGAACCAGTCTTCCAACGACAACAGGGAGCCCAATACGTTTCAAATTACCCTCTTCCCCTCCTCTTCCCCAAACAATGAAACGGAAAAAATAAGGCAATGCAGACGACTACACACAAGTTCAAGGACTTCAACCTAAACACGTGCACGATAGATATACAAAACTTTATACAAAGTCAAAAACAAAAATGTGTRATACTGAGAGCCAAAGATCTGCATGAGAGGCCAGGGAAGGCAATGTACATTTTCCATTTTTGAAGGGGAACACAAAATGATAAAAATCTTCTGTACTTTGGATTTTATTTTAAGCTACACAGGTCTACATGAAACAGAATATAGTGTCTCTCACATTTTTGACTTTGAGTTTGTGCATCAAAATAATAAAATTGAAATAAAGGATTGCAAAGAGCAAGGTAGGGTTTCCCCATTTTTGGGCCAATATTGTTCTGCTTTATTAAAGTCTCAGAYCCCAGTCACAAACTACAGTATTTTAGCAGCCATAGGCAAACAAATCCACCAACAATAGTCTTCTTGATTTTTTTAACCATCCATTTGCAGCCTTTCCTGCTCTGAATTTTTTTTAAAATAAAACCCTGATATGTTTCTTTTTATTTTTGTTATGTTGGTCAAGATTATGAAAGACATTGTTCTAATTCAGGATTTTATTAGGTCACATATATCATGGATATCATGAAATACAATTATATTGGTCACTTTTATATCCAACTTTGCTAAAGTCTTCTAACTAATGCTTTGCAAACACATGCCAAAAGGGATGGGAGGAAATGGGATGAGAAGGGATTTGATGATTGAGCAGAGATGCAAGATGCACAAATTAAATGGTATGTTCCAAAACATTTATTCYATTCAATGTGTTATTGGGAGAAGGGCTGAGGGGATTCACAGTAAACTTCAATTGAAAGTGYATATATTGACTGCATGCACAGGGAATATAGATCCAGCCTTTTTTTCTGCTTCCCTCTATACAGTACTCCAACAGAGGATTAATGTCTGTAAGTACCACACTCTCTTTTCCTGCAAGTTGGCTAGTCAGCAGATTTTGATATGGAAGACACCACTAAGTGAAGCAAGTGTTTCTGTTCATTGTCCAGGAACTTCCACAAGTCTTTTTCCAGATCTGCCAATTCCTGGAAATCTCTTGCCTGGCAGCTCATCACTAAAGACTGCATCAAAATGAACAATTCCTCGCTGATCCAGGGAACTGGACTGCCTTCTGTTTCATTATCCCAAAGGTATTTTTCTAAAGTCTGAGCATGCTCTGGCYGTATCTTTTGAGGGCTCGGTTGAAGAAGCATTAGTAGAAGCACTCTGTTGATTTCACACTTAGTGATTATGTCCTTGTATGAACTGTATATTGAATGACCAGCATCACCTTCAAAGGATCCTCTCTCTGTAGCATAGTAAGCCATTTCAGTAAAAATGGACAGTGCACCATCAAAGTCACCTAAATAGTTCAAAATAAATTTAAGTAATGGATTTTAGACTTTTTGAAAAGGGTSGATTATTGCTTATAGGGGTGTGGTAAGGTGGGGGAATTGGTGACAGATCCTAATCGTTTTTTTGAGTCCACCAATGTACCCTTGAGTAWTATTTCTTTGTCTACTGGCGACACTTGCAAGGATGTAAGCTYATTTAGATGTAATCCAAATAAAGATTTTTATTCTCAGGATGACGTTAAACTGGGGAAAGCATTATGCATCCTTATTTTGATTGACGGAAACAAATAATAATGATAATAATAATAACTTTATTAATGTCTCRAAATTCTTCTAGCCGGACACAAGCGCCCTACTAATCGGGGAGACAAAGAGTATGAAAAGCTGTTACATGTGGGAAATCATCGTTGCAAGTACTTGTAGGTTTTGGTGGGCATCAATCAAGGAGTTTCCATGACATTCCAAAGGCCCATGCCCTTGACAACTTTGTTTTCCAATAATGYCATGGCAACATTTTGATTGACGTCAAACAAAACCCAATTTGCCAGTTGCAATGCATGTGCGATTCTGAAGCGCTTTAACAGTTTTATTACCTRAATCAATCTTRCAAGATGCAGCATGTCCCATGGAGTACAAAGCATCCAGAGGTGTCTGATGCTGTAGCTCAGCTGCATGATGATACTGCACCATCGCCTCAGTAGGTCTGTTCATACGCCTCAACATATCTGCCAACTCGAGACACAAACAAGCCCCAAGAGCTGAATTTCCCTGAGAACAATGTACTTTGATAGCTTGGTTATAAACATGGATTGCCTCAGTCAAATGTTCCTCAAATGCAGGACATCCAAGTTCTAAGTTTTCCTGCTCTGCTTGTAGAAACAATCTAGCCGCTTCTGTAAGGGCTTCTACCTCACCAACTGAATTTGAAAGCGTGTTTTCACATCTTGCTTTGGCAAGACAGCAGAAGCCAGCATATTGAGGGCAGTCTTCTCGTTTGAGTTCCTTGGATAAAGTCCCAAACTGTCCACTTGCTTCAGAAACATTGGGTTTCTTTAAGAATCTACGTTTTAGTTTAGCAGTAACTGAACGATACTGACCAAGGACGTCGAAATTACGATCCATTTGATAATAGGGATCAAATCATGATCTAYATAGAGTAATTTAGATTTTCGTTTGTTAGATTTGATTCAGAAAAGACTTCCGTTTGCTCCCGCGTTTCTAGTATCCAGCGTAATCTTTTAGTGGGGAGGGGTAGAGATGAGTTTATACTTGGACCAGATACTTCCCTTTTAAAAAAGAAAYTAATTAYATGTWYTATTTATTGTCAAAAAYTRTAATATRAAGAAAATATAKYGAGAGTTGTGARAAATGAAAAACTTAAATGAAAGAGGAAATTAGTYGAAATAATRGTAATCCTYACCCCTCCCTTCTTGATTCAATTTYGGTTGCAAGACCCCCGCGAACATAACACACAATATACAAGATGGCGGACCAGTGGAGTGGTTTTTGGGGTGGCCATTTACCACATCATCCACAGCCCAACGAACAATACAATCGATGGCAAAACCAGCCTGTAGCTTCTACAGTTCCACCACCATTAATGGGTCATCGACAACACCACAATTTCCCACCTAGAAACCAAGTAAATTACCCGAGTTATAATCGCCCTTCTGGCTCCGCTAGTAGGCCTCCATCTTACAACAACAATTACTACGCTGCTCCACCAGTAGACCAGACGAGACTCGCTGGCTTTGAAGCAGAAAAGAGGTTCCCAAACGCAAAGGAAAGGATTCATAACATTTTACAAAACGCCACTAAGACTCATCATAAACTCACTTACAAATTTCAAARGATAAATAAGAGAGTAGGCAAAGCTACACTGGGAATTCCTTGGCCAAATTTTTATTTTGAAGTAACTGGCGAAGGTCTTGATAARAAGCAGGCTGAGAGGAGAGCTGCTGCTCTAGCCTTACTTAAACTGGAGGTAACACATTGTTATTGTCATAAGGACTTGCATACCGAGTCAGGGGGGAGGGGGAAGGGGGGAGGGGCAAGGACTAAATGTTTAGGAGGTTGGGCTGAAAAAATTAAAAAATGTATGAACATCTAAAGTCTAACCTTGACTGGAGGCAGTATTTCATGATAACTCAAAGGAATTATTGGAGAAAGATCTATACAGTAGGTGTATTGTTTATAAACATTTCCTTTGTGATGTTCATGTACCTACTATTTTAACAATAGGTTTTAACACTTGCTTTATTGGATCGTCCAATCCGTTTCTGGTTCATAGTAATTGTGAATTTAAATTATTTAAATAGCAATCAATCAATACAAATTCCGTCATTTCAATCAATCCAAATTTTGTATGCCCATTTATCGATAATGATGATGATACGCTRATATATAATGATGGTGATTGATGAATGATATATTTTGATTGATTTTTACAGGAAATGGGATGTTCAATTGGAGGAGCTGGAACTTCAATCACATCAAAAAAGGAAGAAATACAAAAAGAAGAGGAACCACAATTGTTATCAATCCCAGATAGCATGCTACATAGAATAGAAACAATATTATCAAGACAATATACATCAAAGAAGATACATGTATCAACAGACCCTATTCCTAAACATATCCCATCTTCATCATCGTCATCATCATTGCCGACAACAAGTAACACATCTCATGACAAGACACAATCTAAAATTGACAGCAAATGCACTCAATCTCCAAGCAATTCCGATTCCRTAGGTGTAGACACTGTTCTTTTCTCTATGGAGATTAGGGATGTTTTCACAGGGTTGGAGTACAAACCTCTTAAAAAAGATGAAGAAACTATCATGAATAAGGCTTTATTAACAGAGTTACAAGAGCTAGACAAGACMGAGAATTCTTTAGTGAGAGAGTTAAGGGATATGACAGATAATTTACCTGTTGCAAAATTGAGGTATTTATACAGTAGGCTATGAATATATTTATTTATTTACCTTACAACTTGTACAACACGCTTAACAATTGCTACCATTACAATTAATAATTAATATACTCTATGCACACAACTCACTTCTCATAATGTGTAGATCTTCTTGGAGAGAGGAGATCCACAGTTCCTGGAGAAAAGTTCCTACTTGTGATCAGCGGGGCTTGCGATAATGGCCGGTCATCAGACTTGYAATGTCTGGATCCAGAATTTGACTTCTTATCTGTCAAATCTATGCCTTGTCAGTCATTTGGACCAGTAACATCAAGCCAGAATTGAAGCATATTAATATATGACCAAGCTAAGACTTAGTATTTGGCTGGTCATTGTGACCAGCAATTGACCAGTCATTACACGTATACTAAGGCCCGCTTAGCTATATTCTGTATTATAGCACCTATTCTTTTGTGTTCCTGCCTACCCACGTGATACGATGTGGTTGTTTTCAGAAATGAGGTGACAAGCCTGATCAACAAAAGCCAAGTGGTTTTGATATCTGGTGAAACAGGGTGTGGTAAGACAACTCAGGTAAGATCCATATAATGATAACCTGTATATAGACCACTTGTGCAGAGTCCCAAGAGGAATTGTTCTAGGGGACGAAACGACAGATTGTTTGCCGCATGCAGGCGGCAGAGTGCGATTGATAGGAAAAGAAAGTGTGTTTAAAATAATAGCTCTTCTTAATTCAGCACATTCTTCTTGAGAGTTGGGTTTGAGCCCCTTTGTTTACTGTTAAGTCACCTCCAGGAGACGTAAAATGATGGGGACATTGYCTAATTGCTACTGTAATTAATTCCAATTCAGGGCTAATTTTGAATTAAGTTTCCAACCAATTTTTCGACCTTCTGACATCAGTGTCATTTTACTGTACTTGGAATGCACCTTTTCCTATGATTGTATTAAGTATTACATTAATCTACAATGTTTGGACTAATTCACTGTTTATTGATGGTACAGATCCCTCAGTATATTTTAAATGATGCCATTGAAAGAGAGCAAGGATCCTTGTGCAATATTATTGTTACTCAGGTAATTATACTCCTTTTATATCAATATATTTTTAGTCTTACTTGTTTCCTGAGGTTTTTTCATTCCTATTTCATGTTTCAAATTTAAACCAGTTGCTACCTACAGTTGTATAAGCTTTAGCTGTCATGAGTGCATATTGCTGATATTTTAGACAAAATTAATGTAACCCCCACAAGCTTGCAGAAAACAAATTGTATGCCCAAAAATATAGTGCCCTGTTTATTTAAATATTTATTATTATTATCATCATCATCATCATCATCATCATCATCATCATCATCATCATCATCATTATTATTCTTATTCTTATTGTGTCTACCTATAGATCAATGTACCGGTACTTTCTTGAGCTCAATATCATGCTTTTATCTTCTCAGCCTCGTCGTATTGTAGCCATGTCCATTGCAGAAAGAGTAGCAAGAGAAAGAGGAGAAAGCTTAGGCAAGAGTGTTGGATACCAGGTATGTTTTGTTATAGCCTGTGTTAGAAGGAGGAGTAGGGTGGCAGAGAAGGAAGTGACTGGAAGGTGTGGGGTGGCTTTGTGGTTAGTAAAGAAAGTGAGATGAAGATAGATCTCTTTTAACTATAGTATAATCATGAGAATATGTGGACCGCGTAGCACTGATGAAATACATGAATTTTWTCAGTGCTAYGCGGTCCACATATTCTCATCTTTGCATCATAATTACCGCGACCTAACATCTATTTCACCCCGGCCTGCTCTCAGTCTGACCTCYAGCTCAGCTGATAGAGCATCGGTAGTACAATTCTGAAGGTCGTGGGTTCGATTCCCAGCRAGTTTGGAAATTAATATTTCCGAATTTAATTCCAAGGGCTTTCGCCCGGAATAACCTCGTTCCCAAGCACTATAACTTATCTATATTTTCTATATCTTCATATAGTATRATCATGTTAGCTCGTACTGTAGGGCTAAAAAGAATGACTGGTGTTATGTCCTACCAAAATTATTGGTACTTGTCTGGCCCAACCCTTCTTAGGCAAGTCCTCTTGAATGGTCATACACTGTATGTTGATCTGTTAAACTGTGGCTGATCATCATATCCAGTCATTGAGGAGCTGTGGTTCTTAGCTCTGTAAAAAGAGGGGGATGAGAATCATCCACCACCTGGGAGGGCACTTTTACTTTCAATGATAAATACCTTTATCCATCTTATCTTGGGAGAGCCTAGGTACAGTAGCAAGCAGTTCATGTGATGTATTCATAAAAATACAATGAATCACACCTAATACAATAGAGAGAAAGAYAATAGAATACAGTAGATTTTCTTCCATCTCATCTTACCTTCTCCATTTTCACACTCAAAACATTTACAGTTCCCCAAGACAGAGATTGATAATTGCTTATCTTTTAACTGAATATAGGTAAGACTAGAAAGCAAAATTCCTACCAGACCTGGAAGAATACTGTTCTGTACCACAGGTGTCTTACTAAGAAAGCTGCAGACTAATCCTAAACTTCAGGGTGAGGAAAATGCTTCCTGTAGTTTATTGAAATACTGCAATAAGGAAATTACAGAAGATATGTTTSATTGTCTTTTATTTTGGTTGTTGAGGAGGGGGAGGGGGAGGGGGAGGGTGGACATCCTATGAATACATTTATCTCATGGAGACACAAGCATTTTGCTAGATGAAGAAATACATATATCTTTTGGCCTTTTGAATATGTAACCCACCCCTCCCCTCTAAATCATACCCAATAAGATGACATGTTACATATGTATGTTGTTTGATTCATTGTTCTCTCATTCCATAAGGGTTTTTGTCTGAGTTCTCTGGTTATCCTCCCTCTGTGAAACTCAACTTGAAAGTTCAGTGTTGCTTGTTTTAAAAAATTGAATGTAGTAGGTAACCGGTCTCTTTGATCCAGGTCTTTTTGATTTTTATTGATGAGTCCTAGCACCCTTGTTGTCACACAGCAGTTATTTGTTCGCGTCTAAAGTTTTAAACTCATTCACAATGTTTCCCTTACACTATTATTATAGATTTATATAGAGATTTATATTCATGAAGAGAGAGAAAAAATTTTTTTGGCTAAAGACTTTCAGTTGGAAGCGAATATAGGGGCTAAAGAACATAATATGAAACCGAAAACGAAAATACTTTGTAAGCGATAAAACATCAGTCACACATCAGCTGTACACGATCACACATGATACGTACTTGGTTCATTCRACATTGGAACTTCTTCTGAGATATTTCCGAAAGGAAACACTCTCAAGAGATGCCTAAGTGTCTAACAAATATTCTAAAACTGYGTTGGATCAAATGTGCACATGTATATATGTGGATCAAATGTGTATATAGRTGGATTGAAAAGACCTGGATCRACAAGAATGTGGATCGAAAAGACCGGTWTTAATGTAGTAGTAGTGTGTGTAGAAGGAACCTCATGGAAAAGCCCCTCACARGGAGCAATGGTTGGGTTGTAAGATTTTATAAATAAATTTTATAAAATAATCATTTTGGTTTTGATGTTATCCCCTAATTTCCTAATTTTAGGAGTGAGTCACATTGTTGTGGATGAGGTACATGAGAGAGACATAAACACTGACTTCCTGCTAATATTGCTCAAGGATATGATGGTCACCTGTCCGTCAATCAAGATAGTGATCATGAGTGCCACAGTTGATGCTCAAAGGTTTTGTGAATACTTTGGAAAGTAAGTATTATAAATTATGTTAATAATACAGGGCAAAAAATAATGGTTGCTCGTGGCTGGACAAGATGACCTGCCACACTGAACTGATCAATGTCCACACWAGACTGACCAACAACCAGCTGAACTGATATATAGTGACCTATAGAAATAATGTCACTGCAAAACTAAGGTGTCAGGAAGACYGCAAAATTACACRAAAAATAAATACATGCCTGCCATTGCAATAAAAATCTTAAAATCATTAAATTTTGTGWCACTGTTATGAAGCACTTATTACAATTCTTTTCAATTTATTTAGTATCCAGGAAAAGCCACACCTCAGTTTTGCAAATTTTCTGGATTTTGATTGGCTAACAYGTTTTCTCAGATGAGCTGGATGTGRCYGGCTGGATGCATGCAATTCYATGCACAACTATTATCTCGCAACAAAATCATAAGATAGGTTGCAGAGTGTAACACCACCTTAAAGTCTGTGTGCTGTATTCCAATCCTATCATTTCTTTTTAGCTGTCACAAGATAAACATCCCTGGCTTCACTCATCCAGTCACTGAATTTTTCCTGGATGACATCAAACAAATGCTCCCCTTGAAACCTGGAACAGTACAAGAATGGTTGCCAGGCAACCAGGATAGCAAGAGATTCAAACTTGCTAATGATGTTGGTTCAGAAGTATGTACAATCATTGTAATGTCTCTGCTTTTTTTCTCAGTTTGCATTTTCTCTCTTCTTTCATTTCTCTTCTTGAATATTCTCCTTGATACAGGGCTTAAAATAATGGTCAATCAGTTGGCAGTCATGATCACAGGTCAAATTCAACTTTTCGGCGATAGCCGTCATGTCATAAGCACTTTGTTGRATTGTGTTACGGTCACCAAAAAGTTCGGACATCATTCTTGGATTCCCATTGAAATTCACCAAGTTTGAAGAGAAAATTTAGATAGATTTCTTTAGTTAGCTTTCTTAACAGCAATAAGAAAAGCTTCAATCAAGTTAGAAAAATGATATTTTACTTGTATTTAGAGAAGTAACTATGCAATCCAAGTAAATAGTTTATTTAAAGTCAGTACATTTGTATGGAAATCCGAGAACAATGTCCGAACTTCTTGGTGACCGTAACACAATCCAACACAATTTATACCAYGTGACGGCTAGCGCTAAAAGGGGAATTAGTCTTAGCTTGGTCATAGGTGTATCTTATTTCTGGCTAATGAATGTTACTGGTCAAAATGATTGACAAGGTAAAGACTTGACTGGACCAGTCCGAGACAATATTGTCTGATGTCAGGCCATTATTTTAAGCCCTGTGCTAGCATCTTGGCTTCAGCACCTGAAATCATTAAGGCATAATTCATATATAGAATGCATCAATGCATCTTGGACATTCTGAGACCTAGTAAAAATCCAAATTGTTCTTCTGTTGATGATTACCCATAGCTTTACTACAGGTTGAACATGTCAATTTGTAGCATTGGGTTAATTAGTCTGAAAAGGAAAGAGGCATTCTGAATACTTAGGTTATGTACTTTGATCTACTGCTGTCCACAACATAACAAAACCAGTTTTAAATTGTTTTACAGTGTAACTGGAAATACGTTTTACATGTAAATRCCATACTGTGCTAAATAAGAAGACAAACATGTTAATCCACTAAAAAATTTGTTAAGGTTATCTTCAATTGGTATCTTTATATGGGGAGGGGAGGGGGATTAGATATATGCTATAGCTAGCAGGGAACTTGAATTCTGTCTTTCTTTGTATTTATTCTACGTATGATTTTATTTCTACAACACTAAACAATGTTTCATTGATTTATTTATCTTCACTATTAATTTCTATATTACAGTGCAAAAGTAATTTTAAATATGCCATTTGACAAAAAGTCATTGGTGTAATATGTTTAGAACAATGAAATGAGCCGTGAAGGCTTAATTGTAACAGTTTTTAAACTTTTTGTTTCAGGATACTGAGATTCCTAACGTTCACTTATCACAAACCCTACCCCACCCTCCTACCCCACCTTCCTANCCCACCCCCCACAAGAACAGAGTCCTACCCTACTTCCTTCTTTGAGTTACCAGATTGAAATGCCTTATACTCTGTACCTGTATGCAGTTCTTTATCCTGACAATACATGAATAAATAAGCAACAAGAGGGTTGATAATCCCTTGGCTCATAAACCCCATTTCTCCCATTTAATAATAACTTAATATTATCTTAGTTTAATCTCAACACCCCAGATACATGTGGATTATAATAATATTGTTGTATATGTGCACTCATTTGTTACATGTTATTGTGACATTTATATACTCCAGCTATATCCTTCTTTTATTGGTTGATCCAAAGGTACTAAGATGTTCAAGTTGATTGTTCAGGTATTTGATCTACTGACAATAATTTCAAGGTATTTGTAATACTTAATACCAACCTGATTGGATGGTGAAGCAAATCCCTTGATATGATTGTCAATATTGAAGTTGGAGGGGGTTGAAGAGCATGATATCTGAGGGATATTACATTATTAGTAATGTAAAACCTCCATTTTCTTCTGGGTTCTACTGTTGTCCTCCTTCCTCAAAACCCAATACACTGTTAGCTAACCATGCCCTTGGGTATAATCAGTCAGCCCAGAGATTGTTTCAGGGTATCCACTCAGGGTACCACTGAGTCCCAATAGGGGAAGCACCCAGTCTGTATATTATAACTGAGGAAACACCATTGAATAGCATTATTACTGAAAATTATCATTCTTTCCCCTAAATATGATTTTACTAATTTGGCCAAAAGAGTCTTACACAGGATTTCACAATGATATCGATATGGGAGAACATGATACATTCCAAAAAAAATTAATAATTAAAAAAATTAATAGTCTTTTTCATGGATTTATCCTGTAGCTTTTGTCCCATGTCTTCCTACCCCTTCCCCCTCTTTTACAGGACCCCCTCCAACTTTAATACAATAATGCCTGGCCCTTGTTAGTTTTTATATACTGCGTCAGGGCGGTGACATCACACCTCCCTGGCCAAATACCATTAATAATTTTCTCATATTTTCTCATATTAAGTTTTTTCAATAGAAACTATTTTCTCCTTACATAGTTTGTTCGTCCCAATTGTACTGGGGTGTTGAGAAGGCGAAATATAATGTAACTATGACTATGCATCAAGTATGTCATGGACCTGTTATTGATAATCAGCAGTGATGAATACCACCCCCTCCCCCTCAGCAATAATTGGTATCCTGAGACAGATCCAGGATGAGAGTGCATGGACATAAGAGGGAAGTATCTGTGGAAGGCAGTGATGGAATAGTGGGATGGGTGCTGCATAATAATTGGGGGCAAATGGTTAACAAACAAATCATAAATGCCATAAACCCCATTCCTAACTCAAGCCCTGGGCATGTACCTTTTCAATGTGCTTAAAAACGTTTGGTGATATGATCCTTTAGTAAATTTTGAAATGCAAGCTCTTCATCATCATTCTGATGAAGTCTCGTTTTACTAAATCTATGCATTTTATCAGTAATTTTACATTGAATATCATGTCTACTCTTAGAATTTACTACTCTTAGAATTCATTCTGGGGTCCAAGCATTAAGTATCCCAGTGTTTCTCCTGCACTTTAGTCCTAGATCTGTCACTAAATTGTCACTTCTCTACAGTTTAAAGAAACCAAAACTACAGTATGAGGCTATTTTAACTGCTGGATATTGATAACAAGTTCTTTTGTAAAAATGATGAATTGGAATGTACACTCATTATTTTCTTACTTCTTTACATGACCAAAAGGTGAAAGTCATACCTGATGCTGATCCTGAACTAGTTACTGAGGTCATTCTTTACATTGCAAAGTCATACCCTGAGGTAAGAAATGTAATCTTGTTTAACATCAAGAGAAAATAAACTAAAAGAAGGAATTTCTGGCATCTGTGCTTGTAACAATCATAGGAAAAGTTTGATGCTAGAGTGCAAACAATTAATCCGTGAAACACTAATTACTAAATAGTACAAAATAGTGCTAATTAAACAATAGAAAACAATGGAATTTGCATGAAATTGTGCCATTTAGTATTACTTACGTTTCACTGTTATATTGTTTGCACTCTAACATTTGCCATCGTTTATTTTTTATTGTTTTTATTTATTTTTAAGTTTGATGCTAACATTTGCCATTTTATTTTTATGCATGTGCATGTATACTGCGTGCTCTCTACAATGTTTGTTCACGTATTTTTTTTGAAAAATACATAAATACATGAGCAAACAGCATAGAGCACTCGCAGTATGCATGTGCAGAAAAACAAGAAATTAAATAATTGATTCTAAAAATAGCATCAATAATTCTAAAAATAGCATCAAAGATTGCTCATGATGGGGTGCAGGGATTTCTTCTCTTGGTTCCTTTTCTCTTGGTAACATGTATTTATCGGTCGGTAATCAAGTTTGGAGCAGTGGTTGTGCACTTGCTTCTCACCACTGGGGTCTTGGGCTCATTGTCTGAACATTTTCTGCATAGACTCAGCATAACATGAGAGTACAGTTTGTTAGGTCTATTCCTTCATTAGAGGTGTTGTGGAAGAGTTTTCTGGTTTTCCTCCATCTGCAAAAGCTAACATACTCAGTGGTAATAATTCCTTCTGGGCAGCCCAGAAGTTGTTTTAGGGTTTGAAGAAATTTGAAGGGTTTTTTGGTATTTTAGTTGATTTGCAAGAGAGTATAAACAAAAGAATTGGCATTCATCGACTTTCACCTCACCGTGAATAACATCCTTTCTCATACAATTAAAATGGAGACTCCAAAGTTTCTTTATTCAAAAATATGGCACAAAAAGCCTGCGTCAATTCTTTTTTCAATGTAATGAAATTTGCTGACTATTTTTGAGATGTATGACATTTTTTAAATTTTGCATTTAGGGTGCTATTTTGTGTTTTCTTTCTGGATGGGATGAAATCATGGCCGTTCTTGATTTACTGATGGAGAAAATCCCTGATGAACAGGTAAAACCAGAACAATAATGGTGTAGAATCTTTCAGTAATATTGTTGATAACGCTGAAAGGGTTTCTTACTGAATACTTTTGATGACGCTGAAAGGGTTTTCATGTGTTGCACTTAAAGGGTTTCCTACTGGTTTCCCTACTACCTGAATGGTTTCCTATTATTTTTTTCTGGTTACTCTGGAAGGGTTTCTTACTAAATAGCTTGGTGGCGCTGAAAGGATTTTGATATGTTGCACTTGAAGGATTTCTTTTTAGTTTTTCTACCGGCCTGAATGATTTCAATGGATTCTTTTTCTGGTAACACTGAAAGGGTTTCTTATTGAATACTTTGATCAGTGATGACACTGAAAGCATTTTGATGCCTTGCACTTAAAGAGCTTCTTATTCGGCTTTGTCTACCACAATCCAATCCACCCAATCCATTTTTGGTGACATTGGAAAGGTTTCTAAAGAAATATTTTGATGATACAAAAAGGGGTTCTGTATGAGATTTTTGTAACATTGTAATAGTAGCTCTTTAAAACAATAAATTTATACATCTCAGGTCAGCACACATAACACTCCAGTTTCAAGTCCTGTTTTGCTCAGCCTTAGTATCGGTTGTGCGTTAAAATATTCAGCTATTCAACCAACACCCGTGGCATTTTAATCAACTCTATGGTTCCGTAGTACGTACATTCCTTACTATACAATGGGCCTTAATAAAAGAAAAGAACACATTTGTACACAATCAAGACTGAGCAAAGGCGAACTCGAAATGGGAGTATTAAGCCTTTGTACATCCACAAGTTGATACGACACCTCAAGCTAGATGTCTAATTTGTCTATCTATTTTGTCCACAGAAATCTACCTTGACAGTTCTCCCCTTGCATTCCATGCTGGCATTAGCTAATCAGCAACAAGTATTTGACAGGTAAGTGCTTTTCAAGACCATCATCTGAACAGTATTCACCATTTTCCATACATTGGTTCACTGGTCAAACACAAAGCGCTCAAGCGAGGCGCCAAGGTACTTTCAAAGGATTATTCAAATTTGAACCTTGCAACCTCGACTGAATGCTTTGAGCTTGACCAGTGAACCGATGTATGGAAAATGGGGAATCTAGGTGTGAGCTGTAATAGCTATGTTCACTAACTTGATCGTGATCTCCCAAACAGACCCGCTTCAGGTATGCGTAAGGTAATCTTGTCTACCAACATTTCGGAGACGTCCATTACAATCGATGATATTGTGTATGTAGTCAATGCTGGGAATCTCAAAGAAAAGACGTATGATCCCACGAAAAAGGTACGGAACTAACTTACAGGGTGCGCGCTACTCCTTAAACTCCTTGAATTTAAATCACGTTTTCAAGGGCACTTGAAAAGCTCTTGAATTCTACGATTTTAGCGAAACTCCTTGAATTTTTGCTTTGATCATTACTTGCATGGTTCTGAAATAGATCTAGTCAGAAAGATTGGAAAACCTGAAAGTCGACCATATCCAACCACCTTGTAAAACCTTGGCATAGTTAGCAACATACTCCTTGAAAATTCATTTTTGGATCTTTGTATACTCCTTGAATAGTCCTTGAATTTTAAGTGGTTACCTCAGCACGAACCCTGTAACTAACTATTTAATAGATATTACTGAGGCACGCAGCATTCGTAGATATAATGCAGTCATTATACCCACGAATGCTGCGTGCCGAAGTGATTATCTAGTATAATTATTGTTCTTATCAAAATCCAATTGTTTTCTTTCTAGCTTGTTTATCATAGAAACAAAGCCAATAATGAATGAACTAAATATTTCTGATTTTCCTCTATGCATTCGTTGGGATAATGCAGACTGAAAACAATGGATTTTGATAAGATCAGTAATTATACTGTTAATAAAAGTCAGGGCACGGCTAACTCATAGTGGAACTTAGCGTATTAGGTTTTGAAGAGGGAGGAAAACCGGAGAACCCAGAGAAAAACACTCGAATCAAAGGAGAAACCTAAGAAACTCTACTCACGTGATGGCAATTCCAGGATTCGAACATGAGACCCCAGAGAGGAGATACTCGTGCACTACCTCCCTACACTTAATTCACCCTACTTGTACTTGGGATGCAATCTGGCGAGGACAGTTATTTATTATTTGCTTGCAGTCAGTATTGCTAACTATAAGAGTTGAATCTCTCCAAACATGCTCAAACAAAACGGTGTGAAGTATAGCTTGAATTGATGGTTTTCAACCATTCCCAAGAGAATTAAATAACAAAAGACACGGCGGCCATGTTGGAGGATATAACAAAAGAATTCATTGACAATTCTTTTGTTAAGTTCCTCCAACATGGCCGCCGTGAAAACCATCAATAGCGTCGTCTTGTCTATTAAACAATTCTTTATGTATTATTTATATTAAGACATTACATGTATATCTTGGCTCTAGGTATCCTGTCTCGAAACCCACTGGTGCTCTAAAGCTAGTGCCACCCAAAGACGAGGACGAGCTGGCAGATGTAGGCCTGGACACTGCTTTAACCTGTTCTCCAGGAAACAGTTTGAAGAAATGGGTTTGTATGCCTTGGATTGATTAGTACCCGGCTTTTAAAACAGAAGTAGGAATAGGAATATAAGAAGTTATTTTTTACCCATTAATGACGTCACCGAGGGAACAACCCATAATTTTACAAAGAAAAAAGACAAAAATTAGCAGATAATGAAAATTTCAATCATTTATGATCTTAGACTTTACAAGGTACATAACACATTCTAACTTAGAATTTCATTTCAAAAAGCGAGAGAATAATATCATTTGTCAAAATTTCGTTTAAATTTAGTAATTCTGTCCACTAAAAATCCTGTTTACGCTCTTTAGACGTCTTCCTCTTTCTTTTATATTTATAGAAGTGGCTGCATCTAGATGCTTCTTTTCTGTCAATCTCAGGGACTTAGCCAATCAGTGAACATTGTTTCCAGTATTCAATACTTCCTAGTCAAGGTTTTCGGGTCAAACACCACTGAAATGTTTTCTATCGAAAGTACTGAATAAAACAAAGTTAATGGGTTTAAGAGGTTCAAACAATTTCGTTTAATTTCCGGCTCTGTGTTTGCAACAACAGTGCGCTTATCTGCATTAAATGGAGTGAAGTAACCTTGCGCGCTTCGATTAGTTCTTTACATGGATGTCATACTAATTTTGCGCATGTCCGCCCCCCATGTCCTTCCCGCATGTTCGTCCCGCATGTCCGTCCCTCATGTCCGTCCCGCATGTCCGTCCCGCATGTCCGTCCCGCATGTCAGTCCCGCATGTCAGTCCCGCATGTCAGTCCCGCATGTCAGTCCCGCATGTCAGTCCCGCATGTTCGTCCCGCATGTCCGTCCCTCGCGTTGTTACTTTTGGAATCTTTAAAATCTCCTTGTGTAGTAACTAAAAATATTTCGTTTCTTCTCCAAAGAGCCATTCCAAAAGGCCGAAATCTTGAGAACGTCTCTTGAAGAAATCGTCCTTCAAGCCAAGGTAAGTCATTTCAATCTCATAGACCTTACTCCATATCCCAGATAAACGAATCTTTTCACCTACAGTCTGTTCATATGAGTGGAAAATGTGGAAAATGTATTCACTGAATAATGCACAGACATTGAAATGGATTTCTGTTATCTGATTAATTGATCCAAGCAAAACGCGTAATTATGATAGCATCCCCTGCAAGTCAAGGTTAGGGCGCTATAAGACGGAGTAATTTTTCATGCAACTTGTCGCGCAACAGTGTTGCAACACACTTTGCAACGGAGACGCAATCGTTGCCAAAATTAGAAACCAATTCTGCGACTTGTCTCGCAACATTTTCAAATTTCGCTGTAGGTTACACGCTGCGATGTTCCATGGAACTTGGTTCAGAGAAAATGTCTCCGTGTAATCGTGCCTTTATGTCCATAAGGATGTTATGATTTAAAGAGAAATAAGTTGCGCACATCTGCTCGACGTCTATTTCTATCAGAGATGTCCTTGCAACCTCCTATGATGACTGTCTATCATCTCTTCAGTATTGAATGTCATGCATCGCTTGCATTCCCTTAGGCATCTATCTTCTTCTATCTTCTCTGTTTTTCATCCCGTGTTCTAATGAAAACTTCGTTTCTTTTTCTTCCTGGTAGGTTCAACGGCCAGATTGCTCCGCCGAACAGTTCTTATCGAAGGCACTGGATCCTCCCCCTTCAGCATCTGGTAAAATTTATATCAAGAAATTCCTAATTTATATTTTGTCCCCCGCTGCTTGTGGGGAATGATTGCTAACCTAACTGCTAGTCACACTAGTTTTTAGCTAGTTATCTCTTCTAGCCGCTAGTCATGAAAAACTTACAGCATGTAATCGGTAGGGAATCCCGTGACATTCAAGTGGTTTCTCATTGGTTTTCGTGCTAATCATCCATTCACAGCGCTTTCTTAGCCGGCTGTATGCAGTCGCACACGTTTTTGATACAGCCGATTGACGTGTTTTCTTGTGGGCTCTTTCTCAGATGACACGTACTAGCCTTGTATCCTAATTTCTCTTATGTATTCCAAACGTCTTCAGCTTACTATTAGCGTTAATATTTATTTTACTTATTTATTTCAGTTCAAAATGCTGTGTTTTTGCTCAAAGATATAGGAGCTTTAGATGACAAGGTAAAATACTGGACGGCTTGAATGAAATCAAACCTATTGCACGTGCATACACCTAAATCCAAAATGGCGCACGGCCGGTGAAAACAAGGCATCCAGGGCCAAATTTACAAATTTGCAGTATTTTCTTATAATTTGATGCTGCAAAATTGTTGTGTTCCTCAATGTAAGAAGAAAAAGAAGACAGAACAAGTGAAAATGTGTATACTTTGCATTGACAATATTATTATTTCTTTGTATCTGGCCCTGGATGCCTCGTGTTTCATGTGACACACTCAGTCGTGCGCCATTTTGGACTTAGATGTATTACACATTCCGTTGTTGAGAAAAACTGGCTCAAAGTTTGCAGTGTATTTCTGCACCGTTTTAGGAGACATATTTTCAAAATAACGTCTATTTACGGCTCATTTCAGACCACGTGTCATTCCCTAGAGTATCATTTCTTTGTTTAATGGTTGCGCATGAGAAGACACATGAATATAGACACGACTCAAACAAAGAATCTTGTTCTCAAGGAAAATGACACGTGGTCTGAAGTAAGAAAACATTACATGACCCAAGCTGAATGGGCCAGTCTATAATGAATCATTCTGACATTTGCAGTCRAGTGGAATCTCGTTAACTTGTTAGCTTTCCATTCACTAATGCTGAGACCCTCTATATATAAAAAACAAGATAACATGACCTATTCTTCGTTTGCACGTTACGTCATCGCGGCCATGTTAGTACCATTTAACAAAAGATTTCTCATTAGCACCCATTGTTAACGGTACCACGATGGCCGCCATGTTTTTGTTTTCTCTTGGGAATGCTTGCAACCCATCAATACAATGTATACTCATTTTTGGTCCCTCCATATTTTGTTAGGAAAAGCTAACGCCGTTGGGTCGCTACATGGCAAACCTACCGGTGGATCCAAAGATAGCCAAGATGATCATATATGCTGTAGTATTTAGGTAAGTTCTTGGAAATAAATAGATAATTTTCTCAGTGAGCATTGGGCTAGTTTCAAAATTATATTCAGGGGGAGGCGATATTATTATTGTGAGAGTGACATTGAAGCCGCTAAAGTGTTTCAAAGGCTGGGTTAGTACTAAGTTCATTACGAGATTAATTTTTAATTTTTAAACCTGGAAGATCTCTTTCTAAAGTCAAAAATGAGTAAATATTCTCATAAGATGAAGAAAATAATCTCTCTGATTGAAATTAAAACCAATAAATTGTTGCAAAGCTGAGTTTAAAGACGTTTAATAATGATTTACGTTTAGAAGGCAATGGAGCTTTATTAACATAATCTGAACCTCACTAATTTCAAAAAGTGTCCCACATTAAACCAAAAGCCGTTTTTATTGGTATTTCAGATGTGTGGACTCTGTGTTGACCATCGCTGCTTCTCTATCCTACAAAGACCCATTTCTTACTCCTATAAAAAAACGCGCAGAGGCAGACAAGGTTAGTAGGATAACGAGTATTTCATTTACAGTCAACTGAGGCAATAGGTTGCTATCAATAGACGTCACTTCCGGTAATAGCTCTTTTTTGATGGCTTGTAGAATCCTGGAGGTTGTTTTCTGGTTTCATGTCGTGAAAATAGTCAAATACAATAGTTTGAGGACTTATTTTGATATGTTTTGGCTTAACTTCGCTAGTTGTCCCCAGTCAACCGCTTGTTTGCCCCCCAGTCAACTCCAAAAAGTCACGTGATTGATAGTAAGCAATAGACCGTTTCCTCAAGGTTGCGTGCGCATCCAACTTGACGGGCCACAAAACTGAAGACGCAAATTCAGTAAAATTGAAAAGTTTTATATTTAAAGAGGAGAATACTCGATTTTGCTTGATAATACTCGTGTTCTGGTATCGTGGCCCGTCTAATTCCTTAAATTTGGATGCGCACGCAAACTTGAGAAAATGGTCTATTAAATTTTTCCATTAACACTAATGCAGTTAGTCGCTACCCTCTCCCCCTTTTCTCTTCTATGTACCGGGCCTTCAAACAGTACAGATAGTAGAGGAAAGGGCTGTAGATAGATATTGGCCTTCTCGAGAAATAGTACACTCTTTCCACCCCCACGCCCTATTCAAAACGGTCTGTCTGTATTTCAAACTCTGATTACAAAATGAATGAAAGTCATAAACCGCGCCCTGCTCGCCACTCTATTAAAACCTTTGGAAAAAGTCACCTTATGGGGGCCGGACGGATTGACGTGAAGGGGCTTGCTAGTTTACGCGCGCTGCATTGATCAATTTTAGCAGGATTTTTCAGTCTTTTTTACGACAAAAATTGGGTCGTATGATAAAATGATTGTTGACCGAGTTAGATTGGACCGGATGGGAAAATATTTGGCTCGGCCCTCCCACTCAGTCAATAAGTACATATTCAGTGAAGGGCAAACACTTCTCTCCCAAGCACTGTCATTCATATATTTCTACTGCTGAGACCATGCCATTCAGCTAGTAAACAAATTGCACGCGAGACCGGAAACGACTTATATAAGAAATTCCGTTCTTGTTTGAAATTGGAAAGAAAGTAAAGAAACAAATATTTTGGTGGTAACAGCAGGTCTCATCTTTATTTCTCAGAGACGCATTAGCTTTGCACGTGGTATGGACAGTGATCACGTGGCCTTGCTCAACGCGTACGAGGGCTGGGTCGAGTCGTTGTGGTCTGGTCAAGAAAGGGAATACGTCAACCACAATTATCTTCACCGAGGAACTCTGAACATGATCGAAGGTAGTTCGCTCATTAGTACAACGTATCCCGTTTTCTAACGCTCCTTTGGATAATACATGTTTGTTTTCTCTCGATAGGTATGAGAAACCAACTTTATTGCTTACTGGCTGAGGTGAAACTAGTGCCCAGGGATGACTATCATCACCTGACCGATATGTACACCAGGAACCTGGAACTAGTTAAAGCTGTTCTGTGTGCTGGACTGTATCCTAACGTCATTAAAGTCGGTCTGGGATTGGAGTCTAAAGGAAGATGTGGGAAAAAGAGACTAAAGACTACAATGAGAACCAAGTACGATGCTTTGAATTAACCGGATCATATGCGTTATCCATACTTCCATACTTCCTATCCATTCTCTCCTTCACTGTGTCCGTTCCACGTTCGTTCGTTCGTTTTTTGTTCATTCTTTATTTTGTGCATTCGTTCGTTTTTGTTTTTCTCACGATGTTGATTGCTCTCTTTCTCGTTATCTTGTCCATTAATCGTACATGCGTGCGTTTGTTCGTTCATGTGTTCATCTTTGTTTTGTTTTGTTTTGTTTTTTGTTTTTGTTTTTTTGTTGTTGTTGTTGTTGTTGTTGTTGTTGTTGTTGTTTTGTGTTTTTTTTAGGGTTTTTTTTATTTTTTACTCTCTTTATTTGTTCTTTTTCTATTTCATTCCATTTTGATCGTACTTTTCGTGTCTTTTTCTCGCGATTTCCATTACGTTCTAGGAATGACGGGCGCGTAGCCATCCATCCTTCGTCTGTCAACAATGAAAAAAAGTCATTCAACACAAAATGGCTGGTCTACCATGAAAAGGTGATTAAAAAAATTGCCTCGCATCTCTGGGGTCTTGGGTGTTGCCATCGCATGTGGGCAGACTTTGTTGGATCTCTCGTTAGGTCTTTGACTATAGGATCAGTTTTCTCCAGGTTCCACGGTTTTTCTCTCTCTTCAAAACTCAACTCGCTAACATTTCAGTAGAGGCTTTGCACCATCACGTGATGGCAGCCATGACAGGAGGCACAACAATAGAGTCTTTTCCCCTTGGGATACTGAATCCTTTCTAATGTAAATCATATTAGACCCGAATCAATTGTTCCTGCCCCCTGTCATGGCTGCCATCACGTGATGGTGCAAAGCTTCTATAGACCTTTTTAGCTTCGTATGCAAATTGCCCATTTCAGACCACGGTACATTCTCCTGAGAATTGTTCTTTTATGACGAACATGTTAGAATATTTACACGTGAAAGAATCAACTCCCAAGAGTGGCATCGCATGGTCTGAAATGTGCACAACAAACAACGAAACTAAAGAGGTCTATTCGATATATGAGTTAGTCATGGTCTGCATGACTTTGAACAAGCCAGGTGTCGTTTTTCCTTAAAACTGGTGTGTCGTTAGGTTTTTGAGTTAATATTCGATATTCAAAGATGTGCATGTTTGAAAATCCTGGTTTTTGTATGACTTTATTTTCGTGTTTATAGATCCTTCAACGGTTTTTTTAACTTTTTACATGGACTAGTTGACAAAAATCCATAATTCTGGCAAAAAAACCCTCAAAATTAGAAAAATTAACCAAGTTTAAGAGTGGTATATTGGAATACAGCCATGCAAAGTCACGAAATTTGACAGACGTTTGTATGGAGGCACAAAACAAATGTCTGTAACACCTTGCACCTTTACGGAGCTAGACCGTTGCTTTTTTTCATTTGCCATTAGCCTCTAACTTGGGAAATTTGCTAAATTTGAGGTGCTCTGTCCAATGATGTTGCTAATATCAAAAAGTTGCTCATATCATAACATGCTCATATCAAAGAAGAGTCTATTTATGAAGAGTGAGAGGCAGGGAATTTATCCAATAAAAACTGCGCGTTCTATTAGATCTAAGACTTTTCATAGAGGTTTTGCACCATCACGTCACGGCAGCCATGTTAGATGGCAGGAACAATAAAATCGTTTTATATGAGAAAGAATTCAATTCCCAAGAGCAAAGGGATTTTATTGCTCTGCCATCTAACCACAGGTAGTCCAAGCTGTATTATGGGTACGTGATGGTGCAAAACCTCTATTGCAGACATGTGCGAGCTAATAACATCCAATGCCTTTTATCAGGTCAAATCAACCCAAGTCTTCATAAGAGACTCGAGTACAATACACCCGATAGCCATGCTACTCTTTGCTGGTGACAGCTTATCAATTTTGGAGAAAGGTATATCAACGTGTTATTCGATAGCATAGAACAGTTTTCGTGTGACTGTGAATAGCTAACAGCACGAACACGGTAATATCACGGCAAGGGATACGCCAGACTAGTCACATTGCACGGTAATTTACTTTCCACTGATCCAATCAAATGCCCGAAACACGGCGTGGACACGGTCACGCCATTGTCACGGCTCTGCCAGACCAATCACATTGCGCAAGAAAAATTTCCCCAATCAAAATTCTAAAAAACATCGCGGCCGCGGCAAGGCATACGGCACCGACCTTTTCACAGTAGTATGAAAACTGCTCTCAAACTGAATCTAAACTCACAGTGCTTTCCCATGAATGATAATAATATTTTTTTCTATAGCGCAAAATACATATATATGATCTAGTGCGCTGGGATGAATGGATGGTGTAGGATTGGTAGCGTCATCATAACCTCTTTTACTATCACTACCAGAATCCATAGCGCACTTTATTTTGTTTACTCAATTTGCAGCAGTTGTCTTAATATTTTCATGAAGTGATAGACATTTAGAAATGAAAGAAAAAGAATTCATGAAGCATTCTTGTAGTGCAAATGGCCTATTTCAGGCTATATGCCACGGCTATTTTTTTAAAAAAAAAGGTTGTGAAGGCTTTGTAGCCTGCGTTCAGCCGGTATAATCTGCTGTAACACGTTCCTTGCAACTGAAAAGATGAGCAATGGATCCTTCTCTAAAATTATCTTGAATGCAAGACTGTCGTGGAAATTCCGAAAATCGAGAAAAATCCGTTTTCTTTTGTGTTTTTATGCTAGCCTCGCATCAACGATAATTTTGAGAAGGTTCCATTATTACCCATAATAACTTATTACAAGAGAATATGAACTAAGAGAAGGAATCCCCCCCTATATAGCCTTGTAACCATCATGTGCACAGTATGATGCTATTTTTAAACTATTTGTTTTTCTGTACGCGCATTTACTGCGCGCGCTCTCACAGTTTGCTTACGTTTTGGGGGGTTTTCCGTTATTTCGACTCTTCCCTGGATATGAATGTGCACGTCGAAAGCTTAGCAAATACGACAAGAAATTTAAGTAGTAATTTATTCAACTTTCTAGAGTATTTTCATATTCATTTTCAAAAGCTTTCGACCTCCATCTTCATCTTGAGGGCAGATTTGAACATTTGAACATAAGAAAAGCACAAGAAAACGTTAGCAAACAGCGTAGAGCGCGCGCGTACTATGCGCGTGCAGAAAATCAAMMGATCAAATAAATGRTATCATTGGATGATATTTTTAGAATAGATTCTAAAAATAGCATCAAAGTGTGCACATGATGAGGCACGGGGATTCCTTCTCTTAGTTCATAGTCTCTTGCTTATTATTTTACTCCCTCTTCTCTGTAGCTCCGTATCCCAGTCAAGTGACTCTCGTTGTAGACGGCGATCGCTGGATGGGTTTCCTGTGCTCACCAAGAGCTGCTCATACGCTACAGGCTCTGCGGAGTACTTTGGAAAAGATGGTGAACCAAACCATGTCGGCCAGCAAGAATCCGGAATGGTTTCAGTTTCATACGGATTTGATAGGATGTGTCATGACTTTGCTGGAAACACAATCCAACGCTCAACGATGAGCGTCCCGTCCCGAAGGTGGACAGGACACATCTCCTTTTCAATTCCTTTTCCACTTCTTATCAACCAAAATTATTTGGGGAGGGGAGTGGACATGCCCAAATGTGGTCCAGAAATCAAATGTAATGACCCATAGATTCAAGGTAACCCTTTCTGTCTTCATCAAGATCGTTTGGGTGAGGGAGTAGTGGACATCCCTAAGAGAACTTCAGAAATCAAATGGATAAGATCCTTTGGGGGAGGGGGCAGTGGACATCCCTAAGAGAACTTTAGAAATCAAATGGATAAGATCCTTTGGGGGAGGGGATAGTGGACATCCCTAAGAGAGCTTCAGGTATCAAATTGCTCCTAATACTTGGCACATCTTCATTTCCATTCATTAGCAAGCAATGGGTAAGGGACATCCTCAAACAGCGTTGAGAAATCAAATGTAATCCATCATATTGCCATCATTATTCCTTCATGAACCAGATGAACATCGTTACAAGTGGACTACGAAGCATGCATAATAGAGACATTAAACCATGACACGCGCGCGCGTTAACAAGAGGAAACGCTGTACCTACCATTTTCCGCAGTAGGTGAAACACTAGTAAGCGTAGTAAGCAGTAAATGTTTTTTGTCATTGACCTTTTTTTTTTTTTTTTTTTTTTTTTTTTTTTTTTTTTTTTTTTTTTTTTGGTTCTATTAGACGTTTCGACTGTTTAGCGACAGTCTTTATCAGAGTATTCTTTTTTAATTAATAACACCAGCGCGCAGTACATTTTCCCCTGTATTAGTGATAAGGACTGTTGTTCAACCTGAGTCGAAATGTCTAATAAAAAAAGTCGGTGGCAAAAACATTATTTACTATAAATCAACAGTATTCCACAGCAATGTTTTTTCTACTAACAATAGTAGATTAAATATAAAATAAACTGTCATTCAACGTAAGTTTTAAATTAGGGTTGTCGTCGTTCGATCAACATGTCGTAGCGAATCTTGTCAAGGATCGTATAAATTATTTTCATTCGTACCAAAATCTACCAAGCTAGAAAAGAAATCCTACGCGTGACAATAGCCGAAAATTTTATCATTTCTTAAATGCTACACTTAACTTAAATATGGAACCGCTTGGATATTCTTATTCATCGTGTGCGGTTGGCTTGCGTAGACATCCACATCCTTAAATCGATCAGTCAACGGAAAAAAAAAATTTGGGCAAAACAAAACAAATTTTATTCGAATCCTCGTTAATGTTCATGTTATCTTGCAGCTTTTAAAGCTCGAAAAACCAAACCGGATTAAATGTTATTATCTTAATAAATAATTCTTATCCTTTTCTCTCTCTTCCTATCCTGATTCCAGATGACGAGTGGGTAGCATTGAAATGGCTTCTTTGTATCTATCAGTTTATTCGTTGAGAAGAAAAGTAAAGGAAGGACTATATATATTCCCTGTGCCACCTGTAGTGTACACCTTTCGTTACCAAACAGGTTTTTTACGCCATCTCATGACTGCCTGACGTCAAATTGGCGTTGCTTTAATCCGATTCATAAAAGAACCAACGTTTTTACATGTTATTTTAATCACAACAAAGAAATCCCTAATTACATCCTTTGTCGTCAATGACTAAACAAACTTCTTCTTTGGTTTTGTGTAGTAACGTCCGAGTCTCTGATTTCTTTGAATTTTATCTGATTGTGTATGACGGCAAAGAAAATCGAATTAGCCTTAATGCGGCCACATCGGATTACATCGTCCGCTTGTGCGCTTTCGATCGTAAGTTACGTTATTATTCCTTTTTAAATCCCGGGTATTATATTTATCCTAATTACTTTAACGATTAGAATGATTCGTAGAAGACAAACAGACAAGGTTTATACGAACTATTCTAATTGAGGCCAATTAAAAATATATATGTGAAAATAAAAAATATATATATCACCCAAAAACATGGACTTATTTTACTTCGTCATTTTCTAACTTTAATATTAACTCAGCATTTAGCTTTATCCATTTACTCATGTTTGACAAAACATTTCAAGGTAAAATTACTCGACTGTAAACTTTGGGGGGAAAATTCCAAAGTTGAGTAAACACTGTGACGATTATTATAAAATCGCCATAACAACGGGGTCAAAACATACCGCTGAAGCGACGATTTACATACTATAAGTGTAGAAATCATCGTTTGGCAAAGCACCGGTTCATGAGGGTATATACAATTCACAATGGATGGAGGATTTATAATTCTCAGCCCTACATATTGATGGCTTTGTAAATCAGGATTGTTATTAGAAGCTCGGATCGGTGAGGAAGTTAAGGTGCCGATAAGGAAAGATTGTTCTTGGAGATCCACGTATCGGGGACAGTACATGTTCATCATCGGTAATTTTTTTAATTGGAGACCATAATATCTATATTCGTATCCGTTCGAAGTATTGTCTATACTGAGTTGTACGTGGACAAGGATGTATTAACAGTTGGGTCGGTGAATGTCGACTGAGGATTGAAGTATCGAGTCGAATGATGACAGCAGTTCGTCACACTTCCAAGTATTCGACGAACGAGCAAGATATGAAGAAGGACTCTAAAATTGTCACGTTTTACAAGAATGGAGATATCTACTTCAGCGGATATGTCGTGACAATAACTCCACGTCGATATCGAAGTTTTGAAGTGCTATTATCAGAGCTGTCTCGCATAACAAATCTTCCACAAGGAGTTAGATATCTTCTGGATAGAGAGAGCGGAACCCGGATCGAGGCGATCGAGCAGTTACAAGACGGTAAAGCTTATGTTTGTGCTTCGAATTCTAAGCTAAAGAGGCTGGATTACGGCAAGAAGAGCGGGGTATTACCCCAATGGGGTTCTAAGAACAAGATTGAACTACCTGCGCTGACAAATCCACCGAAGGTTCAGGGAAATCAGACTAGTTCTCGCTACGTCCCGCTTGCACATACTCGCCATGCAGGAACACGAGAACACAAACAGGAAGCAACAAGAAACTATCAAAGGGTTTCTTATAAAGCTCGCAATGTGACTGTAATTCGAAATGGCCACAAGCCTAGGATGAGTACCAGGGTTTTACTAAGTAAACGGACGGCTCATAGCGTGAACCAGTTTCTTGATATGGTGAACGACTCACTTGGGGTCACCGGTGCTTCAAATGTTCGAAAAATCTACACCTCTAGAGGAAAGCAGGTTTACGAGGTTTCTGATTTATTCCTCGATGAAACTGGGATATTTATTGCTGTTGGGAATGAAAGATTTCGGGTTGATGACATTGAGAATATTCTAAGTGATGATAAAGGAACGCCTGGTAATAACAAGAGACGTGTAAAATCACTAGGGAAGGTTAGTAACACAGGTATGAAACACGAAGAAGAAAACAAACGAACTTCGAAGGAACACGATGATAAACCAACAGAACAAGATAACAAGAAATCTTCTTTACCGGTACTGCCGGACTTAGAGGTTAAGAAAAACAAAAACAATTACGAGATTAGATCGAAAGTAGCTGATGGTGGTGATAATTATTCATCGATACATCAAAAGCCTCAAAGCCCGAGACACAAGAAGACTGTGAGTAAACAAAACTCTTCGACAAGAGAAAACAAAAACGTCGAACAGAGGACCGATGTGAATTCAAATAATGTCAAACTGCCTCAAATTGGGACAGGGCATAACTTGGTTACCTCGCAAGAACCACAGCAGGCAACCACGACAAAAGGAAAGACAGACAATCAGGATTCCCCACGGGGGGTAGGTGAGGAGAAAGAGAAATTGAAAGAATCTGTTGAGAAAGAGAAGATTGAAAAATATCCTGAACAAAAGGTTAAAAAGAGACCTTCTAAAGAGTTTACCCACCATGAGATCGAAGTAGAATATTCTAGAGTAACGGATAAAAAAGTTGAGGATGTTTACGACATAGGACGAAAAATTGGCGATGGAAACTTCGCAATCGTTCGGCAATGCACCAACAAAACAAACAAAAAAGAATTCGCTCTCAAAATTATCGACAAGAAAAAAATTAAAGGAAAGGAAAAAATGATCGATGACGAGATCGCAATCATGAGGAAATGTCGCCATCCGAATATAGTTCGATTATTTGAGGATTACGACACGCCAACTGATATTTATCTGGTAATGGAGCTGATCAAGGGGGGAGATCTCTTCGATGCTATTTCATCTTCTGTCAAGTTCACAGAAAACGTCGCTAAAACCTATTTTCGAGATATGTGCAAAGCCCTGGCATATTTGCACAAGCAGAGAGTTGTACACAGAGATATGAAACCAGAAAACCTACTTGTAAGTATACACTGTGATATGATTGGCTATCTTGACGCGCTGTCGGTTTTGTTTTATGGAGTAATGGTTTTGACGAAGAGTAGTGTTTGTTTATTAGAGTGCAAACAATATATCCGTGAAATATTAGTAATACTAACTTACACTATTTTATGCTAATTCTATTGTTTTCTCTTGTTTAACTAGCACTATTTTGAAGCACTCTATAACTGGGGATCAATTAGTCTGGTCATATTTCATGTCATTTTGACTTGTGACTATTAGTGTTAAGGAGCCATTATTCACTCTACTGTTCTTCAGTGCAAAATACACCCTCTTTCCATCCCCAATAGGAACTGATCCGATTTTATTGATCAGATAATTTGACAATTAAATATCTTGTGCATGATTCTCTCCGTTTTATTCCAGGTCCACGAGCGTGCAAACGGCCAGGCAATCCTCAAGCTCGCAGACTTCGGCCTCGCGGTAGAAGTAAAGGCACCACTTTTTACCGTCTGTGGTACCCCAACCTACGTCGCCCCAGAAATCCTCGAAGAAGAAGGGTACGGCCTAAAGATCGACATGTGGGCAGCAGGTGTAATAACATATATCATGCTATGTGGTTTCCCGCCATTTCGCAGCGCCAAGCGCGACCAGGACGAACTTTTCGACCTCATCCAAGCGGGTGACTATGAATTTCTTTCACCATATTGGGACCCTATCTCTGAGGACGCCAAGGACCTGATCTCTCATCTACTGGTAGTAGAGCCCCATAAGAGATACTCGGCCGAGAAGGCTTTAACTCATAAATGGGTCCGGCTCAGAAGTCCTACAGTAGGGGATCTCAGTAAAAACCTGCTTGGCGAAGACGGTGTCGGGAAGAAGTCGAAGAAGAAGTTTAAAGCTGCCGCCCTTGCTATACAGGGAGCGCAGAGGTTTGGAAACTTAGCGGATGAATTTCGTACTCACAGAGGCGAGAAATTCATTAGTTTATTGTAGATTATAATAGTATAGTGGTAGCAAACATAATCTGGATATCATGGCTCTTGATAGCATGATGTAATAACTGATCCTGTCTGATCTCTTGATTACTACGAGAAGTGATTGTGCAAAGTGACCAGATTGAACACTAGCCTGTGTACAGCCGTTCCCCACTTCTCCCCCTATGGGGGAAAAACGAGGGGAAAACGTTTTGCCCGTAGTGGGGAGGGGTGGGAAGCGGGTGTATACAGGCTAATAGAATATACTAGAGGAATTAAAAGTGAATGACTAGAACCTCCCACTAGCTCGATGGTGTGGGAGCGAGAATAGTGAACCGTACTCCATTCATCACCAAGTCAACTCACTTAGGCTCAGGTCAAACTTCGAACCTCACATGAGCCAAACCTAATTGCAAGAATAGATGACAAGGTGGTCTTTTTTATGTCACTAGGTTCGGCTCATGTGAAGTCCGACGTTTGACATGAGTCTTATAGGCCTAACAGAAAAATACTCAAAACTTCTCAAAAAAAAAAAWAGAATTACTCCTTTGGAGTGACCTGATTTTTTGAAAGCCGAGATATCAAATATTAAAATGAGTCCGCTTTTTTAAAATTTGAAATCAATTTTTTTATAGATTAAATGACATGATTTTGATATATATTTTACTTTCTCGGTCTTGAAGACATTGATGAAGGAAAATATATGTAAATATGTTCCTCTGGAACGTATTGTGATCCACAAACACTAAAGGCGCTGTTGAACAGCTAAGTATTATATCATTTATATATATTTAGTTATTATAATCATTAAATAGGTTTTATAGACACAAGTAGAATATATAATGATCAATAGATTTATACTATATATATATTATGCATCTGATACAAGTATCAAGCTTGGGGGRAAAATATATAAAAGGGAAAATGGCGCGGTATTTCTAAACCCTTTACCAACCATTTTGTTTATAACGCGCGGTTTTAAACGCTAGGGACAGTTAAACGAGTGCTACCGCAGCGAACCGATTTACGTTCTCTATTTTCGCTCGTCAGCCAATAAATAATAATTAAGTTTAGTGAAGGCCCAACCCTTGTGTAGAGGGGTAGTTATGCCATGGAAAGCCAAAAAGATCTGTGATTGAATTCTCTTGAGAGAGTCCATCTTCCTTGCATTGAGGTCTAAAGAGACTCTGCTCGGAAGGAAATGATTGACAAAGATTTCAAAAAAGACAATATGACGTCACGGTGGCACGCTTTGCGCTATAACTCAGTCCCTTTCTCAAGAATTTCTCAAAGATTTCCGCTTCTATCTTTACATTTCGATTTGGGGTTTCGTTAGTTTTGGAAAACCCTTCAGGATTTCTTTGTGCACCTTCTACATACCATACTAAATTATCACCTGATGTTCAATGCAAATAATCTATTTTACTCCTGTTTCAAACAATCATATGTTTACTCAGTATCTTTTGACCACTTAGGTCACATTTTTTACGTCAATCATTTTATATTATTATTTTTAAATCAGTCACTGTTTCAAAAAATGGTCTTTTTTTTCAAGCAAAATCCTTGGTTAGAATTCTCCGCCTAAATAGAGTTTATTTTTGTAACCAAATGATAATCGTAATAAACATCCCGTATAAATGTGTAATTTTGTCCTTTCTTTTTCCCTTGCTTTTTCTTCTTCTTCTTCTTCTTNTTTTTTTTTTTTTTTTTTTTTTTTTTTTTTTGGTTTTAGTCTTTTCTTTTGGTTGAAGTTTCATTCACGTTAAAATTAAAATGAATTTTATGTTGGATTGCAATTAGAATCTGGCTATTGGATACTGATACTGATTTGCTTGCGAGACCTAACTATAACTTGATTCCAGAAATAACATGAATATCCGTGAATGCCGACCAACACTTGGATTCGACTTTGTTATCGATCTTCTTAATAGTACATTTTACAAAAAACAATTTAGGATACGTACTTTTGTTCCAATCAGTTTATCAGGCGCATATAGTTCGACTGCCAGCCATTCTCTTTAGATAACATTCTCATGTGAGTTGTATCAATACATGTGTCTTCTCATGTGCAACCGTTAAACAAAGAAATGATGCTCAAGAGAATGACAGTCTGAAATGGGAAAATTAACATTGTGCCCAAGGTGAAGAGGTCTATAGACGTGAAGTGAAAATAAAAAGTGTATGTTAAAATGGCATAATGTGATATATTTTAAATGAATCTAAAAATAGTGTTTTTGTTATATACATGTGAAATTGAAAATATTGAGTTTTTTCCCTTCACTCRTATTCTTATTTCAAACTTCTTTTTTCAGTCCTGCTGTCTTGGACATTGAATTCAATATTAGTTACTAATGAACATTGTAAAGCGTTGTTGAAGCTATGCGATATTGACGCTATATAAAATATATATATTATTATTATTATTATTATCATATTATTATTATAGACACCTTGCAGCATGCACGTCGTAAAAGCAGCTCGATTTGGAGAATATATCAATAGGTTTCCAATTCTCATCAGATTGAAGTTCTTTAGTTTTTTCCTCCAAATTGAGCTCCTTTAACGTCACAAGCAAAGAGGTCTATTGGAAGCTGGTACACGAAGCTATGATGCACTTACTCCACGAATGAATAAAGATAGGGTCATGGGACGCAAAAATGGATGAACGAAAGAAAGAGATAAACGAATACGAGTGATAAATGGAAAGAGAAAATGGATAGCGAATAAACAAGAGTAAACAAAGTTCTGTCAGATATTTTCGATTTATTTGCACTATTATCACTACGTATACAGTAATTTACGAACGAGTGATTTTCAACATGTGCCATCAAAATCAAGAGAATGTTCTGAAGGAATAAAAAAAGCAGAGAAAAGATTTAGAAGGAAATTGACTGTGCGCATTTAAGATTTTAAAATAACATTTTTAGTTTTTTTTCAATTCTTTCATTTTGACAAGAGTTTCTCTCTCGAACTGAATCATTATATATTTGTAAATATAAACACATATTATATATTTGTAAATGTAAACACATCCAAACATTTAATTTTTGTTTAATATTCATTACATGTGGCCATAACGATTTTTTCATGAACCTGCCTCTAAAGCGCGATATCTAGCCAGACAATGCATTTAGTCACACTGTTGACTATAGCTAGATAAATTTATCTAACTTAGATCCCGCTATGTAGATGACATCACCAAAAATAGTCAATACGCGCCAAACCAACGGTCATGTGAATCCGAGGGTTTATTTTAGGCCAAAGAATGCGTGAAGTTTTCTTTTCTGATTTTCAGACCGTTGACACGTGAATTTTCAATTAAAGTGACGTCAACTAAAATAGTAAATAACTTATAATTTAGGTGACGTCAACTATTCAACAGTTATTGTGATTGCTAAAGCTGTTAAGTGGTAAGATAAGAAGCAAATTCGAAACTACACTGTTGCCGTAGCCTTGTGATTAGGAGAATTACTGTAGACAATGGGAAGTCATTTCAGTATTACGGCATGGGTGTACCGTGTAAATGCCGTATACACCGTAGCGTACCGTAGGTTTGATATCAAAACCGCTCTATATAACTAAGTACGTGCTGCAGCTTTAAAAAATAAAATCATGACTCTGCAATGTGCCGTGTATGAAGGAGTAACTGAATAYTTCGTCTATGAATACCGCAATTTTCTTCAAAGACTGTTCCAGCAGTCCCTATGACATTATTATCTATCATGATAATGTTCAGCTTAAGAAAGAAAGAACGTTTCATGGTGTCATTCCCAAATACGCAAAGCATTCTTTGGGCGAAGTATAGGAGTGGCAATTACGAGGGATTTTGTCCAGATTCTCTGGTTTTGCTTCCTTCGCAAAACCTTACAAGCTTAATCAAAATTTTATTCGTGAACTAGCCGTGCATTGATTGTGATTTTTTTTATTTAATGATTGCCCCCAGGTTGTTTCGTAGTATCGCCAATAAATTAAAAAACATGTGAACTCTGAAACAGGACCTTACATCAAAAAGAATATATTTTACAACAATCACTGTCCATCACTCCCCCCACGCTCGCTCCACACACAACCGCACTACATTCACTATTATACTACACAACAAACAACTCAAATGTTGATTTTTAACGAGGGACGGCAAAACTGGAGATAGAACACGGAGAAAACCCCTCGTGGCAAGAGAGAAAATAAAACATCAAACAAACTCATCTCATATGTGTGGTTCAGCCGGGACTTGCTGACGACCACGACACCCGGCGTGAACTACACAACAGTGAGAGGGACAGCGTTAATACATTGGATTTTCTCTTGACGTATACGTGACTTCGCCATCGTTGCGCAGAAAGTCCTCCTTTTCAAAGTACACCGTCTGTATCATGTTCACCAGTAGATCTACACGGTTCTTTAAGTTCTCGGCCTGGTCGACCCTCTTTCTCCTTTTATACTTGGGTTTACCCATCGGATAGTTTTTGACTTTATTCTTGGACGAGAAAATAAATCCCCATGTACTCCAGCCAAGCCAGACACGGAACTGGTCGGTCATGAAGTCAACTATTTCGTACTCATTCGATTGTAGATCGTTGTTGCGTTTCACCGCTTGGAAATTCTCGATGATGATCGAGATAAACATGTTGACGAGGACCCAGACAACGAGGAAGCTGTAGAAGAAGAACATGACAGGTGCTAACACTCTGTTCGTTTCAAGAAGACGTTCGTAACTAAATTTCCCAAGCATGACGCTTATCAGGGTTTCCACAGAAGACATGACGGTGTGGAACATATAAAGGTCTTTTGAAAACACCAAAACGCAAAAATGCACGAATGCCATGAAGACTATACCGAATACTAGACTAAAACACATTAGTTCCTTTGCCGAGTTCTTCAGTGTAGACGCAAGTAATGACATTCTTCGGTTGAATCGGAACAGACGAAGGAATTTTAGAGATACCAAGAACACGACGAAGGAGTAAATATAAGCAAAGACTTCATCGCTGGCTGCCAGTGGATGGAAGTTCACAAATTCATTGGGATTCTTGCGGTATTCTCTTTGTGTCAGGGCGTTGATGCTGAATCTTACGAAGTAAAGCACAATGGACGTCCAGGAAAGTGAAATCAACACAAGCTCCRTGCAGTTCCAGTACTCCTTGAAATAATAAATAGGGCCAATGTTTATCATCCCTTTGATCAATTTATACGTGAAGAATATGGTGAAAGCGACAAATGCCAGCTCAAAGATGAGTACGAATAGTTTGAATTGTCCTGTGTAGCGGTCTATCCTCGTGACGAGAAGCTCGACGAATGGGAACGCGCCTCCGCTGGCGGACACTTCAAGTATCAGAAACGCAACGCAGTGCATGTTGGTATGCGGGTTGTATATCGTTATCTCGACGAATACCGCTCGACTCTGCTTGTCAATCCAGTTATGCGATTTTAACTCTTGRATTTTTCTTCTGGCCTCCTCGATCGTTGGTCCCAGGTCTTCGGCGTAACCTCCTCCACTGTAGAAGGCCAGGCGTCCGAGGAATGGGAGGGATTTCAGCTCAACGCTTTCTCGGTACCGCCATGCGCGATTGGTTGATGTGAAGTTGGAAGGAGCTCGCAACCATCCTGGTTTGAATTGTTTGGTTATTTCTTCGGCGTTCCAGGAATAAGGTACATTACAGTCACGTAGAAAACCTTTAAACACATTTGCCACTTCACATGTATCTAAGGATGAAAAGGACACAAGGAGCAACTTAGGTAAGGTCAAAACAAATGTCAACTTAGAGGAACCAGTCTCGAGGGGGGAGGGGGTTGGAGTATTCAGTAACCACAACGTCTGGACGTGAAATACTGGAATTTTGATCTAGAATATTTCTGAAACTAAAAGTCGAAATTGCACAAACGAATACATTTATTTGGAGAAAGAATACAACAAAGTATATAAACATAATGAGTTTTGTTTTGTTATTGTTGTTGAGTTTTTCAGGCTGTCTCAAAAAGAAATTATCATGCATTAGACAAGGACGCAATAGAAGGTGATACATAAAAGTAACCGATGACAACATTTGTTACTGGAGATCATCCARTATGGTGGCCATGACGTTATATGAGCACCACGATATCAAGACATTATGGAACATGCATTGCCACGGTGAGCATATCACATATTGTTTTTAAGTAGGTTAGMTGTCCTTACTTAGTGGGAAACTGCTATATATTTTTGACACATAAATAAAGTTTATTATTATTATTATTATTTATTATTATTATATCAGTTTCTCACAGTCGCTTTAGCAACACGTAAGCAGTACGTTCATGTATTCATCATTTTCCATACATCTGTTCACTGGTCAAACACATATACTTCAGTCGAGGTTGCAAGGTTCAAATTYGAATAATCCTTTGAAAGTACCTTGGCACCTCACTTGAGCGCTTTATGTTTGACAGTGAACCAATGTATGGAAAATGGTGCAAACGATAACTGATTTACCTGTTTTGACTCGTAACTGTCTAACCCTTGCAACTCCRATCCGCCATGACGTTCTGTCTGCCATGTATCCGTTGACGTCACTTTTTCCATTGTACCAAGGTCCGTTGTATAAACTGGGCAGCAGAGTGTTGTTAGTCCAGTTCCAGAACTTTTCGATTCCACTCACCTTTAAATTAAAGGTACAGTTAAAAAAATTATTTGCTAAAATATTATGACCTGCGGATGAATGGATGGAAGGATAGA